TCGCATTTATTTATCCATTTTGCTTTACATACAAGGTATATTGAAAACTTGATACAATTAGTAATTTGAAGTAAAAAAACCATGTTTTATTTTATTTGAATATAATAGCAATGATACAAGTCGAAACCAAGAATTTCATGCGGCCAATATTTTTACGCTTTACATGAAAATTCATAGGACCATACAATCACTGGTTTGTCCATATTTCCGCTGCAAGAAATCTGTTTACTAGTTATATATCTTATAACTTAATATAGTTTCTACTTTGAGATTAAGTTATGTTATCAATAACTGCCCCTTACTTAAAAAAAAAAACACGATGTTTCATAATTAATGTTTTGGAAGTGCTGTTGTGAATACTATAATTTTATAAATATTAGTGTATTTAAGATAATGTAAGGACATTTCACCATGAAGTCTTAAGATAAAGCCAGGTTACCGCCCAAAACACATGAAATAGAAAGTAGAATCATTCTTGGCTAATCTATCTGATATGAAGATGATTATACGGGTCTGATGTTTTCATCTGATATTAAAGGAATCAGTCTAGATCATATGATCTAACGAATATAAATCAAGGATGTCAAACTGCTGCTGTTGAATATAGTAATTAAACAAATAGACAGTAGGTCAATCTTACAAAGACACAACTCTTGTGCAGTTTTAAATACCAGTTTTCTTTGTTTTCAATTAAATCGATTTCTCCCTTCAAGATCATTTCAAGTAAAAAGATTGTCACTTAATTTACGGTTTGAACAAATCTTTCTCACCAAAAACATATCAATTGGCGTTTTGCAGTTAATGCATTACAATTTGTTGCTAACATTCCAGACAATGGGCAACCGACATGATTTAGACAAATCGTTAACATAATATATTGGTTTTACAAAAAGAATGAACAGTTATTCGTCTTGGATATGAAATTAATCAAAATATCCTATCAACATATGTCATTAGTTCTATCAAAAGTCAAATACAATTTCTTGTCAACCTCAAATAAGAGTACTGTCGTTAAAAGGTTTTGTTTTGTCTTTAAAGTTATGTGAATTTATGATAATACTTTTAATTGACTTCAATACGATTAGTCGTATGCGCCATTCTATGACATAAAATATACTGTCAGTTATACATCGTGTTAACACAAATCATAAAAATTATAAGTTCAATAAATATGTATGTATTCAGTAAAGTACAGACTAGTTCCCTTCATTTTGTAATCACTTAACGTCTTTCAAATAATGAAAATGAAATATTTAGCTACATGTAAATAACTCCTCTATCATGTCTATACAAATAAAACTCTTGATGATATTCCGTATAGAAATTTATGTGGCAATGATAGTATATTCGAGCGGGATTTTTTTGCCAGCAAGTGAACATTTTATACATTTCATATGACATCTTTTTATACAATTAGAAATTGGAACATGCACATATACATCACCAGATGAGTTGCCAGTACTCCTGTGTAAACATGAATTATCATTGATATGGTCAAAAGCATAAATTGACTGTTCACTAAACTTTGCATTTTTCGAAATACAAAGGATTTTCTATCCCGGAATATATTACCTTCGCTGTATTTGACAACAATTTTCATGATTTTGATTAAGTTTGAAAATTTCAATGTTTTTTGAAAAACTTTATTTTAAAAATTCACGTGAATATCACTTTAAAAAAATTCATGTGAATTTCACGTGAAAAAAATTCATGTGATTTTCACTTGAGTCTCACGTATAAGCTCGTGTGAGGTAAAGTTAACGTGATTTTCACGTGAGATTTACATGGATTTAAATTCACGTGAAATTCATGTGAGTGAAATTTGCCTGTGTAGTTGTTAAAAAATGAAATTTAACAGTTTACACCATTTACACACATATATGTTGATGTTTCAACATCCAAGCAAGCCGTCATAGTTATCCAAGTTTTCGAGATTGATAATGAAATTGCAAAAAATGAAGCTTTAATAATTCATATAACAGTTGTATTGTTTGTTACTGACCCTTTAAGATCCATAGAGAGTTAGCAAAAATCAAAGGGGCGTGAGACCGTGAACCGTATAACGAATTTATCGAACACAGGACTGTTCCTGCCAAGTTTTGTATAGAATAAACAATGAAATAGAATAACATTAATTAATGACGTCGCTATTAATAGTAGACGTGAACCAAAAATGAGATCTAATGGCCCAATACGGATTCATAGGGGTAACCAGGTGAAGACGTTAAACCAATCATAACGTTATTTATTTACCTGAGGTGCGATAAATATATCTGTTGTAATGGTATTTTGTTTCTGTATTGTGTTTATTCAAATCTGATATGTCTCTGAAAATGCCATAATTTCAAACCAACTGCAAAACGTAAACTAAATATAAAGGATTCAATGAGCAATCAATAAATGAAAAATAATCAGTAGGACAGGATTGTCCGTTCGTTATTCATATATTAACGAAAACCACCAAGATATATTTTGATATCGTGATATGAAAAGTCATCGGGCATTATTTATATGAAAAATGAAAAGACTTGGATGATTGCCGATGAGACAACTATCCAACAGAGACCAACTGACGTAGATCTTAACAAATGTAGGCTTTCACTAATCAGCAAAGCCATATACCATATAGTAAGCTTCAAGAGGTTCCAACATGATAGCACATTTAATAATTAGAGTAGAAAACATATGCTTGATTCAGTAAGAGTGAATTCATGAGGATGAGTTTTGTAAAAGAGGGTCGAAAGATACCAAAGGGACAAACTCATATGTCGAAAATAAACTGACAACGCCATGGCTTAAAAAGAAAAGACAAACAGACAAACAGACAAACAACAGTACACAAAACACAACATATAAAACTGAAGAATGAGCAACACGAACTTCATCAAAACTGGGGTGATCTCAGGTGCTGCGGATGGTTAAATAGACCTTACTCTAAATGTGACACCCGTCGTATTGTTCATGTTAGTACAAACCAAATAATAATTCTAAATCGGTAGGTCACATTCGGAAAAAAAAGGATCTGGATTCTAGTTGCAACAATTGGAGCATATTCGCTATCATCTGTGAAATGAATATTCCATAACGGTCAACAAACTCGTAATGGCGACTGTAAATTTACAAAGTGATAATTTCAACTTAACCACATTGAACTTTTGTAAGTGTATTGAGAAATGATTAATCCTTTTGTAAATGTTTGCCATTTATTCCATAGATCAAATTGATAAGGATTTACAAAAATGGAAACAAGATGATGAGAAGTTTGTACCTACAAGAGCGGTTCAATTTGTATTAAATTGTCTGAAAAAAGAAAACTGTGTAACTGTTGTTGGAAGTCCGGGGATAGGAAAAATGGCTGTCACAAGACACGTTGCTTTAAAGATGGAAGGATTAGGAAATACTGTCATTCCAATAACAGTCCCAACAGATATAAGAGACTTTTACCAGCCTGGAAAACTAACAGTTTTTGTTGTCGATGACATTTGTGGCAATTTTACAGCTAATCAAAAGATGATTGACAGCTGGAAACAGTTACTTGGTGTTGTTGAAAGCATAATTGTAAATTGGTTGTGTCTTGTAGATCAGTAGTTTATAAAGATATGAAATTTAGTGTTTTAGTCCCATTTAAATCTTGCAAATCTTGTAATATGAGTTCAACTGAATTACAGTCTGAAATCAAAGTCTGAACGAATGAAAATAGCCTCAGTTCATTTGGGTAAACATGGGTATGAAATAGCTCAGAAGATTTCTTATGATTTCTTTCCTCTATCAATATGATAAGCCAATTAATTTCCAACTGATTTTACAGTTGAGCTTGGGGAAGTGTTGAACACGCTTCATTCCAATGTTTCTCTTCCTTGTGTGGAGCTTGTGTGTCGGTGGTTGCTCTCCGTAGTATTCATTGTTCATATATTGTTTAGCTTTAATCACTGCGTTAAGTTCGAATTGTTTCTCATTTTATCATCTTGGGGACAACTATAGCAGACTATACAGTCTAATTTGTTCATTGTTAAAGGACGTTCGGTATTCTTTAGTACAGTAAGTCCATATCATTTTGGCTCCGTAGGGCAGTTGTCTTATTTTCAATCATACCACATCCTTTTTTTATATGCTGAAACCTTGGCTTCTCAATTAATATGAATTTCTTGTCACATTCTTTACACTCGATGAAATTTATTTTATGGCTAATTGCAAAGTTATATAATTTTAGGTACTTTGTCGTCAGATAAAATTATATTCATTAAAAAGTTATTCTCAAATATTAAAGGATACTTTTTTTATAATGAGTCCAAACGTATACGTTGTCAGCACGAAATCATATACATTGCACACAAGAGCAATTCACATGACCTCAAGCTTACACATATTAATATATAAATTCCTAACACATATTAATTATGTATAAGTGGACAAATTCAGGGTAAATCAATCTGATAAAAGTCAACCGTTTGCAATGGATAACATGTACTTATTCTGCTTATTGGTGTCATATCTATTCCTTTTGTATCATATATGTTTAAGTTGATTTTTGCATTTTAGAGGAACAAATACATAAAATAAAGTTAGAAATGTGTAACGTCTTTAAACCTTTGAGGAATATTTGAATACAATTCGTCAAGATTTGCCAAAAAATAAAACGTTTTATTTTGCAGATTGTTATTCAAAATTTATTGAAACATGAGTTACAGAGTTAAAACGTGTTGTTTGCATTAACAAATCATGTTGAAGACGTCAAAATGGTGAGTGCTAATGAGTTCGAATATAATAAATGTGCAAAACGAAACCATTACAGTACGACGTTCTTTTTTATTTATATTTAATCGCTAAGTTATCAAGCATCACCTATTAATATTTTTGATGCAAGCATAGCAAATAATTTAATTTAAGTTTTTGTTCATACACAATCAATCTATTAAAAGGCTGAGATGTCAACGTGACATTGTGATTATTCTAACTGTAACCAGGTTGTTTTGGTCGTATAATAAAATAAACACCTCAGGATCAATGGCTTCGTTTTATTGTGTAATATAAGAAATGACCCTGCAATACAAATACAAATAATAAATACAAAGAAAGATAACTCTATTCATTCTAGGTGACAATACCTAAAATACAATACTCAAATACTTCCTACTGGACAACTATGGTTTTCCATGTTATTTACTTACAAATTTATTTACATAGAATGTTAATCATGAGAAATATTGTTCTCATCATAAATTACACATCTTAACATTTAACATATTGTATTCTACCAAATATTCTTCTGATAGTCATTTATGGGTCATTCCATTCAAATTACTAACAACATTGAATTAGTACACATAAAGCAAAGCGTACAGTAACATAACACAATAAGCTTATTAAAACAAATATTATAGCCATGCTCAAGACAAATGTTAAGCACAAAAACACACATATAAACAGAATACACAACCTACCATGTATGAGGTACATAGGTCCTGTATTTACAATATGGAATCTTCTACATGATATACGAACAGTATGGTTCAAATATCTGTAATAAAAATATTATCATAACTATTTGTGTTTATAGTTTACGTATCAAATTATCAAATCATTTAATAGTTTAAAATATGTCTTAACATACAAATTACTATTTTATATCTTTACTATTACTTCTCTTCACTAAACTGAGTAATTCATATAATTTTACTGTTTATGGCTTAAATACTTACAAAATGATTTGTTTGACTGTGTCAATTTAGTTAAACTCATTTAAACAATATTTAATATACTTTTATATGTTTTAATCTATTTTATACACCTTTTACTCTGAAATCATTCATTCTGACCATTCATACCAAATCATCTATACAATCTATTCATATCAGTATTTTAGTATGAATGTGACATATTAAGTAGAGAAAACTGACCTGATAATGGAATCAAAGATGTCCACAAATATAAATATATCAAAGCAAACAACACACAACTATACAATTCAAAGTATGAGTAAATTCTGACCTAACAATAGAATTTCCCTCCAAAATGACCATATGACTAAATTAGCCAATTATCACAAAGAAGAAAAAGTTTCACAATACAAACTAGTAAATCCCAGAGAGTAAACAAATAACCAATATATCAAAACTCACTGAGCCATGTAAAAAAATCATACAATGAACATAACCAGTGGAGCATGACTAGAAACTAACTCACTAAATACTTAGAATTAAAAATATTACACTCATCAAATATATAGTATCACAATATCAAAGTATAATACAAAAGTAAAAATATCCAAATTAACACACTACCACATACTCCCCACTGCAGGAAAAAAATGACGTCCCGTCATTTATCAGTATGTGTAGATGTCTTCAAAATATCTAAAATAGTGCGTGCTGCTTCACTCTTCATATCCACAAAAAGATCAGACTGTACCAGATCAGTAATGCAATCAATCTTCTGTTTCCACTCACTCTTAATACTAACTGCTGACTTAGATATATCATAATCACCTGATGTATACCAAACGGGTGGTTTTCTAGATCTAGTTGAGCGTCTGACAGGAACATTATCTGAATCATCTGACTCTAGTGAAATATCTGCCTCAGGTGTATCATCCTGTTGGCCATCACTTTCCTCTACTGGAGCGCTTTCTATGTGTACAGATTCCTCCTGCTCAGCCTGTGTAGCAGTATGGGCGTCCCCATGCGGATCTGTAGTTTCTACAGCTTCCCTGTTGTTATCTTCGAGCTGTGTTTCATCAACATCTGGATCAATTGACTCTTCAGTGATGATTCTATCACTGTCCAAATATCCATCTGAGTTGACAATGAAATGGTTTTCAGAATCAGACTCGTCTTCTGATGTGGTATCAGAATCTGAACCTTCTTCTGGTTTGTCCTGTTTCTTCAGTGAGTGTTTAATATGATCTTTTGTGGATTTATGAAGTGATTTTTCTTTGTCATAGATGAATCCAATGGGTAAAAGTAGGTTTCTATGTAATGTTCGTGTTCTTCCTGTTCCATTTTCCCTTCTTACAGTATAAACTGGTATATCTGTGTTTGGCTGAGTCATGACTTTGTATGGTTCTTCTTCCCATTTGTCAGACAATTTATGTTTTCCATCAAATGCAAGGATTCGGACCAAAACTTTATCTCCAATGCTGATATTAGCTCCTCGGACCTTGGTATCATACATCTGTTTTTGTTTTTCTCTGGCCTTTTTGGCAGCCTCTTCAGCAAGTTGGTATGCCTTTGATAAACGCTCCTTCAATTCCTTAATGTAATTCGTTGAAGGCTCAAAGTCATCCTTCCTTAATCCAAAAACAACATCAATGGGAAGTCTCGGATTACGACCAAACATCAGTAAATAAGGTGACTGACCAGTAGACTCGTGTCTAGTGCAGTTGTATGCATGTACCAAAGGTCCAATGTATTGTTTCCAGTTGACTTTCTGGTGATTTTCCAAAGATCCAAGCATGTTTAACAAAGTTCTATTGAATCTTTCTGTCATACCGTTACCGATAGGGTGATAGCTTGTTGTTCTTGACTTTTTCATTCCTGTTAATTTACAAAGTTCTTTTATTACTTTTCCTTCAAAATTTGCTCCTTGATCTGAATGAAGTCTTTGTGGAATTCCATAATGTACAATATAGTTGTTAAATAAAACATCTGCGGTGGTTTTGGCAGTCTGATTACGAGTTGGAATGGCTTGTGCATATCTTGTGTAGTGATCGGTTATGACAAGTATGTTCTGATATCCTCCTTTTGATGGTTCCAACGTTAAATAGTCTATAGCAACAAGTTCCATTGGCGTTGAAGTAGTGATACTTACTAATGGCGCTCTTTGTTTCGTTGTTGTTTTTCTCCTTATACAGCGACCACATTGTTCAATCCAATGTTCCACATCTTTATCCATTCTTGGCCAATAGAATCTGTCTTTTAACAATGAGAGTGTTCTTTCTTTTCCAGGATGTCCCATATCATTATGCATAGCTTCCAATACAGTTGATGCATGAGTAATAGGCAGAACTAATTGCTTCCTTATTTCTCCATCTATAGTTGTTTCTCTGTATAGGATGTTATCAATCAATCTAAGATGTTGAAATTGGCGCATAAATGGACTAGGTCCTATTTCTTTAATTCTAGGTTTTCTATTCTGGTGAAAAAATTCAATCCATGGTCTGATGTCTGGATCCATAGTTTGTGCTTTTTCCCAGTCAATAATATTTCCTATATTGGTTCCTCTGTTTTCTATATCCTCAATCACTACATCAGGTGAAATAGCTAAACTCTCAATATAAGCTGGTGGTAATGCTTTTCGACAATTAGCTTTGATGGATTCAAGCGGTATATTACATCTGTCGTTGCAATCTGTATCAGCAGGAAGACGACTTAGAGCATCTGCGTCTGCATTAGCCTTCCCTGGTCTATAGAGTATATCAAAATCAAATGCTGATAATGCAGCTAACCATCTATGTCCTGTTGCATCAAGTTTTGCAGATGTTAATACATAAGTAAGAGGATTGTTGTCAGTCATGATGGTAAATTTCGTTCCGTATAAGTAATCCTTGAATTTATCTGATACTGCCCATTTCAGTGCCAGAAATTCCCTCTTATGTGTAGCATAGTTCTTTTCAGCTTTAGATAAACTGCGACTGGCATAGCTAATCACTCTTTTGAGTCCATTCTGTTCTTGATATAAAACAGCACCAAGAGCGTCTCCAGATGCGTCTGTATGAAGTTCATACGGTTTAGAACCATCTGCGTAGCCAAGTATAGGTGCTGATATGAGATTTTCCTTCAGTTGTTCAAATGCTCTTTCTTGTTCATTTCCCCATTTCCATAATTTCTTTGTTTTAGTCTTGTTTTTCTGTCCTTTCTTTGTTGGTGTAGGCATTAACTCTGTTAATGGTTTTGATATCTTACTAAACTGGTGAATGAAACGACGGTAATATCCAACAAATCCTAAAAATCGACGAATGTCTTCTGGTGTAGATGGTTTTGGCCAAGATGTTACTACTTCTGTCTTTTGTTTATCTATTTGAATTCCTTCTTCAGATACTATGTGACCAACATATTTAACCTTTCGCTTGAAGAATTCGCATTTTCCTGGTGCTAATTTTAAATTTGCTTCTCTATTTTTGTCAAAAACTAATTTTATGTTGTGAAGATGTTCTTCGTAAGATTTTCCAAAAATGATGATATCGTCGATGAATATGCAACATATCTTTAAATTCAAATCGCCTAAAATTTCCTCCATGAGTCTTTGATAAGTTGCTGGTGGATTTGTTAGTCCAAACGGAAGACGGTTATACTCATAAAAACCCAGTGGTCCTACAGTGAACGCAGTTCTTTCCTTATGTTCTTCTTTGATCTCGACTTGATAATATCCCGACTTCATGTCGACAACGGAAAAGAACTTGCTGCCAGCTAAACAATCTAATAATTCCTCTATCCTTGGCAAAGCATAACTATCTTTTCTTGTCTTTAAATTAATTTGGCGGTAATCAATGCATAGTCTGAGAGATCCATCCTTTTTCTTAACAAGTACCACGTTAGATGCATATGGTGAATGAGATGGTCTTATGATTCTATTGTTGAGAAGTTGGCGTAAATGAGAACGAACTTCATCATACATTGCGGTTGGAATTCTGCGGTATCTCTGTTTGAATGGTCTTTCATTTCTGTCAATTAAATCTATTCGGTGTTGCACCCTATCGGTATGTCCTACATCACCATCACCTTTTGAGAAAATATCTTGAAATGAATTTATCATATCTTTTCCTTCTTGAAATTGTTCATCTGTCAAATCACTTTGCATGATATGCTTGACTTTTTCTGTAATAGGTATATCATCAGTGTTTTCGTCCTTTGGTATATCTTCAATAGTGACTGGTTGAAGTTCGCAAACTATAGCTTTAGGTGGAATGGCTATTGTACTAGTTGTTACATTTGCTATCTTAATTTTCAATATATTGTTGTTGTTATATCTGTATTGATGTATTGCTGGCTCTATATCTAAATCTTGTATATGATGATCAGATACTAATGTTGTTTGTAATAAACAAGCTGTAGGCTTAAACGGTATTTCCTTGACGCAATATCCTTCAATAATTTTCTCGGTATTTGGAGGTATTATAATCTTTTGTATTTCTGCAGATCTTACTAAAGCTAATCTGTTTTTGTTCTTTGTAAGTTGTTTTTCTTGTAGTGATATAGTCCTGAATGTAAGATACCAAGGTGTAGTTAACTGTGCATTCTGTAAAAATCTATCTCCATGCTGTTGTTTAAGTTCTGACATCAAGGTTTCAAGTATATTAGTTCCAAGTAGTAAAGGTACATGCTGGTTATATTGACTATCTGGTATAACAAGTATCGGATAAGTTCTGTTAATGTTGTTTTTAGTTGTTATTCTTGCTTCGATAAATCCTAAATATGGTAATTGAGTTCCTCCTGCACATTCAATATCCAAAAGTTTATGTAATTCCTGAAGTTCTAATGAGCTAGAAAGATGATCTTTGTAATAAGAGTATGCCAAAGTTGACACTGTTGAACCAGTATCTAAAAGTGTAGTTACCTTGTTTCCCTCTAATTCTACTGTTGATTCTGCAGGTTTTCCTAATAATCCTGGCGGTATT